AGCAGCTCCAGAACCTCCAGCGCCAGCACCCTCAGCAGCTCCAGAACCTCCAGCGCCAGCGCAACCAGCGCCAGTACCTCCAGCAGCTCCAGAACCTCCAGCGCCAGCACCCTCAGCAGCTCCAGAACCTCCAGCTCCAGCGCCCTCAGCAGCTCCAGAACCTCCAGCAGAAACAACTCCAGTGGCAGAGTCACCAGCTCCAGCACCTCCCGCAGCAGGGCCCCTAGCTCCAGCAGCGCGACCCTGACGGCCAGCGTACCACTCAAGCAGCTGCTGTGGGGAGAGAGGGAGTCGACGACGAGAGTGCAGCGGCGAGGCACCAGCGGAGCGACTACGGAGACGGTCGCCCCAGGAAGACTGCTCACCTGACGTCTCAGCGCCCCCAGGCTCAGCACCCCCAGACTCCTCACACCCAGGCTCAGCACCTCCAGTCTCCGCACCCCCAGGCTCCGCACCCCCAGAAGCAGCACCCCGAGCAGGACCACCCTCAGCAGGACCTGAGTCACCAGTGACCTCAACCGGCTCAGTCAAGGGAGGAGGGTCTACCTGAGACACACCTGAAGGAGCAGGACCAAGAGCGGGGAGGGGGTCTACCTGGGGAGCACCTGGAGCGAGGAAGAGCGGCGGGGGGGGGAGAGGGGCAGTGCGGTAGGGGAAGAGACGGTAAAAGGGAACCAACTCGTCGAACGTGACGTCCTGAGAGGGGAAGACACGGCGCGAGGTGGGGTGGTAAAACTGCCAACCAGGCGCGTCAGGGACAAAGCCAAGGAAGACACAGGGAACAGCGCGGGCGGAGAGCTTGTCCGCAGTGGTATCGCGGACAAAGGCACGAGCACCCCAGACCCGGAAACGCGACGCATCGCCAACCTTCCCCGTCCACAGCAGTGAGGGCGAGGTCTCCGGCAAGGAGACACGGGGCCAGAGGTTGAGCTGATGCGCGGCGTACCGGACCGCAAACGGCCACAGAAAATGGGGGGCAGCCGCATGGATCATGGAGGTACGAGCGACCTCCATGACTAAGCCAATGCGGCGCTCAGCAACCCCATTCTGCTGCGGAGAGGCCGGAAGCGTGAACGACTGGTGGATGCCGTGCTCCGCACAGTAGGCTGCCAAGAGGTCTGAGGAGAACTCACCACCTCTGACAGAGTGCAGACGCAGGACAGGAAAGTCCGACTGAAACCTCTCACGGAGCTGGAGACGAGTAGCACGGATCCAGGGGATCAAAACATCAGGGACCTCCCCCTTGCTGCGCAAGGGGAAGACCGTGGTGTAACGCGTGTAGTCGTCGACGACCAGCAGGAAGTACCGCTCGTGGCCCTGTCCACGGACGCGGGCTGGGCCCCACACGTCCAGGTAGAGAGTCTGCAGGGGAGCCTCTGTGGGAGGGAACGAGGAGGAGTGAGGAGCGGCGCGCTGCCGCCCCTCGACACAGGGAAGACAGGGAGGAGCAGGCGAGGGTGGTAGAGGAGGCAGAGTCTCTGGAAGTCCAGAGACAAGGAAACGGCTGTGCATGCTACGAAGGCGCTGCACCGAGGGGTGACCAAGGCGGTGGTGCCAAAGGAGGGTCTGGTGCGACAGAGTGCGACACGAGCAGGGGGCCGCTAGCTGACCTGACGCAAACGCAGACGCAGACGCAGCTACCTGAGGGGACACAGTGGTCAGTGTGTACAGACTCGAGCCAGGCTCTCGGGTGAACGTGGCCAGGTGCCGACCAGTCCGGGAGCACGTACAGTGGGTCACACGCTGACCTCCAGGGGTGAACTGGTCAACCCACACATCCTGTAGGTCAGCTCCACTCACCAAGTTCGTAGAGAACGAGGGGAGGTGAAGACCTGACAGGGAGCCAGACGGGACCGCCGGACACGGCAGGACCGTGGAGGAGTGCGCAAGGACTGGACCCCCAGAGGGGTCCGCCAGGGAGACTGCAACCAGCCGACTAAGCGGCGTGAGGGTGGTGCTGTCGCGAAAGAAGGAGCGGGAAGCACCTGAGTCAAGTGTGAAGGTGTACAAGGCCTCAGCAGGCGCAGTACCAGAGAGAGCAGACTCACCAGTACCTGGAGCAGCAGCCTCACCAGCACCTAGCGCAGGAGTCGCACCAACATCTAGAGCAGAAGCCGCACCAGCACCTAGTGCAGGAGACGCACTTGCACCTAGAGCAGCAGCCTCACCAGCACCTAGGGCAGCAGGCTCTATACCTGGGTCAAGCGGTACGCACAGGGAACAGGCACGGTCATCACTAGTAGACAATGCATACATAGCAGTGAGAATAGCATCATAGTCAAGAGCAAAGATATCTACCCTCTGCCCAAGCAGCTCCAGCCAGGTGGGGAGCTCAGCCTCGTCGCCAAACTCGGTACGCCAGGCGTCGCTCAGACGGGCAAAGCAGCGGGACCAGGCCTGTCGAAGTTCCTGGGGCCCATACTTGGAGTCCCCAGCTCCTCCCTATCTGACCCTGTTTTGGCCGTAGCTGAGTGTTTTGGCGCCCTTACGGTCACGGGCGCAGGCCAGAGTGAAAATTTGATATCCGGGCTTGCACTACACTATCTTAGCTAAGGGAAAGTTCGACTGCTCCAAAGCTGACTTACAGATATCACAAACAAGGGATTGGCTAGAAAATGCTAAGGGAAAAATCCCCTTGGCGCGCTCTCGTGCAACCTAAGGAGAAAGGGGGGGGGAGTGGGGGGGTCTGGCAGAATTTCTTGGGGGAGGGGGGGTCCTAGAACCGGAAATCAAAACTTTGTGGGTGGGGAATGCCTGGTTGGAGCACTTAACGCATCCGGGGAAGGGTCGAACGAAGCACTTAGTGGCACAGGTGCAGGGCGATCCTAACACTTTATGCAGTCGAGCTGGAGAAAAAGTAGCCCGGAATTTCAGGGCATTAAGGGCATATGCCCGTCAATCGACAGGCCTGAGCGGGACTGGGTGTGACCAAGTGTCCCGCAAGCCTGTCCAGCCCGATCACCTGTGCGAAGGACGTACGGGCAGCGAACGGTACTCCGAGACCCTCGACTCTGGGCGTACCACTCGTGAAGCTGCCGGGACGTAAGTGTCTCGCTCGGACGCCGCTGCAGCTCCAGCTGGCCACTGCTAGACGCTCCCGACCGACCAGCTCCAGGGCGACCGCCACGACGGCTACCGCCACAACCCCAACTAGCGTACCACTCACGAAGCTGCTGGGGCGTGAGAGACTCGCGTGAACGTCGCTGGAGCTGCATCTGGCCACCGCCAGTAGTAGCAGTAGTAGGAGTAGCAGCAGCAGCAGCAGCAGCAGCAGCAGCAGCAGCAGCCTAGCGGTAGTAGTAGCGCGGGCAGGGCAGGCGCGGCAGGCAGGCAGGCAGGCAGGCAGGCGTGGCAAGCAGGCAGGCAGGCAGGCAGGCAAGTAGGCAGGTGCTCACCAGTGGCGGGAAGGGCAGGTGCACGGCAGCGGCGACGGCGGGGCCGCGACCGCTGCGGCAGAGCAGGACCGCATCGGAGGTAGGGCAGGTCCGCGACAGCTGCTGCAGGGCGGGGACGTGACGGCGGTAGAAGGCTCCGCGGCAGCTGCTGCAGGGCAGGGCTGCGACGGCGGCAGGAGGCTCCACGGCAGCTGCTGCAGGGCGGGGCCGCTACTGTGGCAGGGCGCTCCGCGGCAGCTGCTGCAGGAGCGACGGCGGCGGCCAGGGGCAGCCGCGGCACGCGGGGCTGCAGCGCGCTACGCGAGCCGCGGACGTGGCGCGCGAAGCCGCTGCGTGCTGCGCGAGGACGGGAGCCGCGGCGCGCGGGGCTGCAGCGCGACGCGCGAAGCCGCCGCGGGCTGCGCGAGGACGGCAGCCGCGGCGCGCGGGGCTGCAGCGCGACGCGCGGGCAGCGAACGCGATGCGCGGGGCTGCAGCGCGACGCGCGGGCAGCGAACGCGACGCGCGCGGCTGCAGCGCGACGCGCGGGATGTGGGCGCGACGCGCGGGATGTGGGCGCGACGCGCGGGGCAGCGACCTGGCGGGGCGGCGCCCTGGCCTGACGGGCCTGCAGGGGCGGCTCGCAGGCGTGACGTGTCTGCAGGCGCGGCGCGTGGGCCTTACGGGCCTGTAGGGGTGGCGCTCTGGCCTAGGGCAGCAATAGGCAGTACGAGGGCTGCAGGACGGCGCGCGCAGCGCAGCACGTCACAAGGCAAGGCAGGCAGGCAGGCCAACACGTGGGGTAACGCGGTAACCGCAACGGTAGGTGGGCCCGAAAAAAAAACGGTCCTACGGACCTAGTGCTCTGAAACCATGTCAGAATCTAGCAGCAAGAATGAATGAACTATCACATAGTTGGGTACAAGTATGAAACCCTAAAAGGGGCTGTACCCCATATTGGCTACCCCATTACAGCCTACACATGTATAACAAGCATATGCTTTGACAGCTTGTGCTCGGAATTTGTGTGGTGTCCTTGAGATCCACCCTGAGCTTGCTTTGCTTCTTGTTTTGACTGGTCTTGTGACCGTTTGTTCACCCTGCTTGCTTTGATGCCCCTCACTTGGCCTATGGGGGTGTGTAAAATGTCGCACATTGTTATAATAGGCTGTAGTGAGTAGCACTGTAGAGAGTACAACACTTTCTAGGTTTGCTATTTGTACCTCTCACTTTCCTAGTTACTCTTTAGAGAAAGGGGGAAGAAAAGGGTCAAATCTTCAGCTGTCAAAATCTTCAGCATGAGATAGAAGCCCTGCCAATGGGTTGGCCGACCAAAATGCCAAGGCAAAGAGCTTTCGATGATTTGGCACTCAACCATAGAATCCAGGAGTGGCAGAAAGAATAGAAAGAGAGTTTCCAAGGAATTGAAGATATCCACCTATATAACGCGAAGTGAAGAAAGTTTCAGCGAAACTGGAGCAGAAACTGGAAGGGTTGGCACAATGCGAGCTTCTGCCTCCCCTCATGCTCACCACATCCCACAGAGGTCACCAGTCTCGTTCATAAGCTGTCCTTCAACCGCACCGCACCACACAACAGTGCACTGCACCGCACCATCTTCCTGCCTCACATGCCATCGCAGTGCAGGCCAAGGGAGGTCCAAAACTCCTCAAAGTCCGTGCCCTCCATGGGAAACACAGACAGCTCATGGGGAGCAGCGGCAGCAGCAGGAGGAGCAGCATGAGCAGCAGCAAAAGGAGCAATGGACACAGCGCAAGGAGCAGCCCCTGCAGCTTTTGCACTACAGACAGCCGCAGACGCAAGCACATCAACCAGTGGCTCAGCAGCAGCAGTCATGGCAGGTGCGGCAGGCGATGATGCAGGTGCAAGAGTGGCTCCTAAGGGGCTACAGCATGGCACCAGTGCCAATGCTGCTTTGACATACGGCAGAGGAGGCACTGTTGTTGGAACCGGTGGTGCAGTAACTGCCCCACGCTGCTGCTGCTTGGCTTCGAGCTGATGCAAGAACAGCTCAAGCTGGCGTTTACACTGCTCTTGCTGCTTCAAGTGCTGTTGCTGTGCCTGCCACCACCACTGCTGCTGCTGCTGCTGCTGCTGCTGCTGCTGCTGCTGCTGGATCTCGTGTTGACACTGCTCCAGCAGCCGCCCCAGTTGCATCTGCACACAGCAACACAGGACACTCACGAATCAACAACCTGACGATAACCACACCGAAACAAGAAAGGAAACCGCACCTTCTTCCACAAGCCACACAAGGACCCAGCTCTCGTGGCCACAAAACCCATTCCTCAAGCAGCACAAGCCGGGTTTCAGGAGGCCAAAAGGTTGCAAGCGAAGTGAGTCCCACCTCTAGTGTGAGCGGTGCAGCAGAGGAGATCCCCAACGCCTTGCGAGCAGGAGAGGTGCGCCCTGGCCAACCAGTCGCCAACGGAGGGTTGACGAGACGAGGGCACCAAGGCAGAGCGGGAGGAGGAGAGCCACGGAAGGCGAGGCCTGACGGACAGGAGAGGCTCGGGGGACTTGGGAGGCCGGGAAGGCTGGGGAGGGTCCGGAGACTCGGGAGGCTTGGGAGGTTCGGAAGGTCTTTGAGGGTCGGAAGGCCTGGAAGGGTAAGACGTGGATCTGAGTTTGAGTGGTGCGATCTGCTGCTGAGCGAGCCTACAGCTCCTGCTGTGGTAGAGTGGCCCCATCTCTGGCGCTTGGCGTTCATGACAGCTGCTGCGGGAACAGGTGCTAGGCTGCCAGGCATGAGCGGCGCGCAGCTGCTGCCTGCCAGTGGGCTCCCAGAGATGGCACTCCTGGGACGCTTGAACACACGGTTGCTGCACGGGGTGTTGCGACAGGGGGAGTGCTGACAGGGGCTGTGCAGAACTCGTGGCGTTGGTGGTGCTGAGGGGGCGGGGGAGAGAGGGAGCAGGAGAGGCAGAGGTGCGAGGGTCGGGTGGGGTGAGTCACACTGGTGGAAGCACGGACGGGTTGGAAGGGGCTGACGGGCAGAACGCGGTGGAGAGTCCACGAATGCCTGCTGCTGCTGCTGTCGCGTCTGGGCGTGCCGTTGTGGCGACATGGTTGTGCGGCTGCTCTGCAGGCCCCCAACGCACCCGAGGCTGCATAGCGCCTTCCACAGCTCGCCTCCTCCCCTCCTCGTGCCCTGCAGCCCCTCATCCAAGCTCTCCAAACTGTCCGCATGGCCTGGATAGTCGTCCACTCCCGCCTTGCCTTCGCTGCTCCAGGGTGTGCCGCTGCCCGAATTACTGCCAGCTACAGCCATGCATTCCAAGGGTAATTTACCCTCCGAGACCGTCACCTTCCCCGCGATCTTCACGCCCGTTTCTGCCCGCCGCGGCCGTGTCGCTGCGGGGGAGACATCCGCGCAGCGCGCTACATCAGCAACACCGCTCAACAGCTGTGACATGCTCTCATCCTCCACGTCACGGTCCACTTGAAAGACCGTATCACACTCCATTTGAAATGCCACGTCAACCTCCGCTTCAAACGCCACGTCAGCCATCGCCGAACGCGTGCACGACCACTCTTCCAGAATCCGATCTGGCCAGTTCGATCGACGGCTCATGTGAATTGGACTCTGCGCCCTCTCTCCTCCGCACACTGCTGCAGCGCATCCGCTCGTTGCGCCAGCCTCCCCGCCCACTGCGGCGGCGCCACTTGCTTCCGCCGCGCGCGGCGCTCCATCGTTGCGCCACTCCTCTACCTCACCCTCAGAAACGTCACCAGACTCCGAGTCGGCCAATTTCCGCCACGCCGACGGGTCTGACGCCGCGGCCATCCCCACTGCGTTCCGCGCGCCGCCATCCCCGCGCACCGCGTTCCCCGCCGGGGAAGGCGAGGAGGTAGCCCGCGCACATGTTGGCGCAGATGATGGCATGCGCGCAGCGGCGGGCGCCGATGAGGGGGGATTCGGGGTCGCAGACACGTTCTCGTTGTCAGCAGAGCTGCTGGAGGGGTTATCGCTCGCGCGCGACGGTTCTGCAGCCGACGCCCACTCCGCCACGGCTCTCCCCGCCGCTCCGTCACCGTCACCGTCACCGTCGGCCTCGGCAACGGTCACTGTTTGCGCCTTTATGTGCGGGCCAGCCATCGCTTCGCCATGCCCCCATATCGCCCTCGTCCGCCCCTCTGCAACGCGCATCTCCTGCTGCTGCTGCGGCGGCAGTTGTTGCCGCCCTTGTAATACATGAAAGCCGCCCATCAAGCGCACAAAGGGGCACTTCACCGCCGCAGCGCCGCGATGCGCGAGAGCGCCGGGAGCGGCCGGCGATCTTGAGGACGCGGCAGCGGTGTCTGATGTCGATACCGTCGCTGGCAGAGGCAACCGCGAGGCTATCTGGAGGAGCGGCGCGGCTTGGTGGCAGCGCAACGGCTCCAACGCGCCAGGTAATAAGCTTCGCGGTGCCGGCGCGGAAAGCTTGGCGCCGCTTCCCTCCGCTACTGCTGCCCATGTCCGCTTGGTCCGCTTGACGGAACGCCTCGTTTCGTAGTCAGGGGTGGGTGCTGCTCCCGTTGCTGTTCCTGCAGTTGCTGCTGCTGCAGGAGTTGCTTGAAGAGTCGCGGCGGTGCCGAGTGGGAGGCATAGTGGATCGCTGCTGGGGTGGTAGTGCCCTTGACACATGGTCGATGCAGCCGCACTAACAGCCGGTTACGGAGCGCGCAATGAGCGATCCGCACGTGCTGCCTCGGGTGCGTTACTTTCGCGAAAGCGGGTATGTGGTTCGGCGAGGAGCATTTCACGGGCCAGGGGTGGCAACCGCGATAACGGGATGGGGGGAGAACGCGGAGAATGCGGCAACACACAACGTAGGTGCGGTCGCCTAGGAGAGGAGTGATGGAGCAGGGCAGGGAGAGCAGGTTGAAAACTGCGGATTCGAGATTGTATGTTATTGCTGTCAAGTGCTTGCAAGCGAAGTGCAGGTAGGGACAGGATGATGACTAGCCTTCAGCTGCAGTAATGTTGCCTTAGCTTGAATGCTGTTGTGCACTGTATTCTGCCGAATAGCAGCAGAGGCCTGCAGGCCCTGCACGTGAAGCGCGTTTGTTTCTGGAAAGGTAAAGAAGATGAGGGCTGGGCAATGTGACGGAATCGAGTGGATCCATTGCTTCGAACAGGTGACAAAAAAGCTCCTGCGAACAGGAGGAACCATTGGGGCAGTCTGAACAGAACAAAGAGAGCAAGTGCAATCTGCTCTGGGACTGGTTTGAGGAGACGGACTGTGCAGTTGGATGAAAGATTGAAGATGCGAGTGAGGAGGAGGGGTGGTGGCTGGGGCAGTCTATAAAATTATGGATCACACTCGCGCTTCGGACATAATCCTGACCGACCCTTCTCATTCTTCGTCTGGTGGAAGGAATTGTTCATCACACCGAATCACCGTCGTTTCCCTACAAGACAGCCGAATCACAGAACAAATTCAATGCCCGAGTACAGAAAGGATACGAGCTGATTTTGCAGTCAAGTCTCTGCAGGTGCAGCAGGCCTGACATTTCGCGCCGCATTTCCCCGAATCGGTTCCCACAAATTGTGGCAGACACAGCGAAAATCCGCGAGAATATCAAAGGCTGCTGAAGGGTCAGCAAGTCCAGGCGAATCAAGGCGATTTTTCAGGATTGGGTTTCCACTGGATTATTGCCACGTTATTGGATAACTCCGCGTCAAACGAGCATGTTACGGCAGTCCGCAGTGCATCTCTTTCGCGCCAGAACACGCGTGATGACGAGGCAAAGCAAAGCAAGCAAGGAATGACCATTGGCAATTCGTCTGACCACAACCCCATCTGGCTCCCAGTTGACACTCAGGGTGTGGAACACCCTGAAAACCAGGAAAAGGTCGAACCATTTGCTGATCGAATTCTGCTCCCAAAGGGCAATGGAACTGCAGTTGGCAACGGAACTGCACTTGATCGATTCAGAACTGCTACATGTGCAATGAAGTGAACAAATAAACATTCAATAGCTAAGCAGGAAGTAGTACAACTGAGATGAGGACATGGGCGAATAAATCCAGCAAAGTGCGACCATGGTGACATGAGGAGGGATATGGGTTGAGGTTTGGAAAACCCCAAGACCTATATCTGTATCTCTCATTCTGTACAGCGAGGTGTATGTTTGGAGCACGATTGCGTGACGGGCGACATGGTATGTGCAAAGACTAGACAAACATAGCACAACGTGAATGGTTGTCGCATATGATACGGTAAGCGTTGTACACAGTAATAAAGAGGGTAAATTGTCTTACGGTATGCGGCACCAGTGGGATTACAGTAAGGTACAAGCAATGGGAATTCATGACCTCAGGTCCTCAGGTGAATTTGGTCCACAAGCTTGCCTTTCTCTCCACTCATGGTTTCAAGGGAAGTCCTGATGCATGAAGATGTACAACATGGACAGCTGCTCCATAGAAGATCAGCCAAAGATCACCGAGGAAAGAACAAAAGAAGAACATTGGAAAGTTCTGGCTACAATTCACATGGTGTCCCTTGACACTATTCATCAACAACGTTGACCAGCTCGTATTCAACAAGAGAGAGGTTATTGTCCTCCTTAGGCTTAAAGGATGCGTCTTCTGTTGGCTCCACTAGACCCCACTTGTCCACGGCAAGGCGCATGGAGCCACGGAACATGTCAATCTTTGCATTGCGGAGATTTACTGTTGCGCCCTCCTTCAGAACGTCCACTGAAAGGGTGAGGCATTGACATCGACGGAAAAACAGCAAGATTTGGCGAAAGGGTTTGGTAAAAACATATCTTAACCATGGATGCTGAGCTGATAACAGCTGGTTCCTTCAACTACGTACGAGAAGGCCGAACCAAAACTGATCAGCAAGTAACCACGATTATTTCAGACATCAACTCGGACAAATAAGCCGCATCTCATGAATAAAACACATAATACTGGGTACTGGTCACAAAAACTTCGCCACCAGTAAACAAGCACGTAGAGAACAGCTGAACGCGAAACTGTCTGGCAGAATGGCATGTCGTTAACAACATCGTTTATCGTGCAAATTGCATGGTGGATAAATACATGCTCTGGGAGCTACTAATTCGACGAATGCTGGGAAAAACGACGACCTAATTGAGAGCATTGACGACCATATGATAACAACAAAGAGCGCTGGGATCGGAGAAAATACACCTCACCTTGCTCATTCCGTGCAGTGAAGACAATCACCCCCGTCTCGTCTCCTACAATGCATTCAGCTATCCGCATACTCCGCATCTGGGTCCCCTCTTGCCTGGGCCTCTGGAGAACAATTTTGGAATTCACAACCTTAACTGTTAGGTTGTGACCAGTTGTTCCTGGCCGTAGCTGGTCGATCTTCGTAAAAACAGGCTTTCGAAGAGGAGCAGCCGCCATGATGTTCTGACTACTGATGTTTTGAGAAACCAAACTAGGACCTGGGGACTTCACCTGTCCTTAGAGATTTCTGGAAATTACCAGTTTCAGAATCTAAAACAGACTTAATTCTTAGCAGCAGTTGCCAGCGGCGCTCGCTAGGCTCGGACAAGACAGACCATAACAGAATAGTACAGATCCAGCCACTGAAGATGCGAAAGGTGCAGCTTGGGGACGGAGGGTAGAGGCGAGAGAGCCAAACATTCAAGCGCCGAAAGAGTGGAAGAACCAAGGTTGCACGAAGTCTGGCGAACATTCTCGCGCCACCAGAATGCGGTTACGCTGTGCTAAGGCCTGCGAACAAAGCCACCTCAGCGTTCTCGCAGTCCTACTCAGAGCACACATCTTCCTCACCTGCTCCTGGACACACATCTGATTGGCTTCAACTCCGAAAGATCTGCCAACAGCCGCCCCTCGGTGCGGTTGGAGGGATTATATTTGGCTTCAAAATGGTTGAATAAATGTTTAGGTTGGCACATTGCTCTGAATACCATAACTACCTAGGATTATGTCTGCACAATTACTTCACCCTACCGATATGCCAGGCACTTGGACAACATGAGTACTTTATGTGCACACAGCAGTTTAAAATATTAAATTAGAGATGATTGCACACATGCCCATTCACTCGAGGAACCCATAGAGACCACCTAATACTGACAAAAGGTGAACAGAGGCTGTTTCAGGCAGCTTGTAGATTAGACTGCAGTGGTTCCTGAACCACTGGCAGCCCCATTAATTACCTCTTTGATCCCATCAAGCTCCCACAACTTGGCCATCCGTTCATCATCAGCCTCCATGCGAGAGGAATACGATGCATGGTCATAGACATAGGCATCCCCTTTTCCCCCCAGTGCAGAGTCCAGCAGTGCGGTGTCAAAAAGCTCCTCCATAACTTTGAGAGAGGGCGCACTCTTGCGGTACACAAACTTGATCTTCTGGAAGGTCACTGGGTCGATGAACGGGCGAATTACCTGGTGTGATGGGAGGGGATGGGATGGGGAGGGGTTAGGTATGATGGGTTGAAGAGTGAGTGTGGAAACAGCAGGTTGAAGTGACATACCAGAGCTCAAGAATTATGAAAAAAAAAACACACACACACAAAAAAAACACACACACACACACATACACCACGGCATGCAGACTTGAAAAGATGAAAGTGGCAAGTCACCCCCCACCAGTGACAGTGACAGTGAGCACCTCTCAGACACCCTCAACACCCTTCCAATCTCTACCTCGCCCACACACTACATCTCGAAACGTGTTAACCACTTCCCTCACACCTTCCATCCTTCACTCTTCCAAATGCCAGTCCCACTTTGGCTCACCCACGCATTTCTTCTTCCATCCCTCTGTCCACACATCCCTCCCCCGTTTTCCTTCCTTCCTCACAATACAACCCCCAGCATCCACAGCACAGTTTCTTCTCCCCCTTCCCCACCCGAGCCCAACCCCCCCCCAACCCACCTTCCAGAGCCCTTGAAAAATGTACGGCGGGTCAAAGAGAATGGCCGCTCCAAGCCGCTCGGGGTAGTGGTTCTGCAGGATGTGCAGCACCTCGCGGGACGTCTTCATGGGAGGCGACTTGCGCAGCGTGAAGCCCTTGTAGTCGATGATCCACACCATCTGCTCCACGCCCTCCGGCAGGCTTTGAACTGCGTTCTCCATGCAGTACACCATCTGCCGGATGTTGCCGTCATGGTCGTCCGTGTTCTGGGAGGGAGAGGTGTGGGGGTGGTTGTGGGGTGGAAGCGAGAAAGGGGGAGGCGGAATTGGGATGGGGGTTTGGGAAGGGGATGTGGGGGGAGTGGGAGTGGGAGAGAGGGAAAGGAGAAAGGGAGCAGAGAGGGGTTCGATGATCCTCGCGATCAAGAAAGAAATGGAGGGAGAGAGAGAGGCGGATGGGGGGGGGGAGAGAGGGGGAAGGAGGGTTGAGGGAGGAAGGAGGGGGAGGGAAGCGGAAGCTGCAAGTTTCACCCTTACATGTCGCTTTGAGAGCTAAGTAACCTCCAAGTTCCCCCTCTCTGCTGCTCCTGCACCCTCCCCCCCTTTCCTTCCCACCCTCTCCCGAACCCGAACCTCCCGTTTCCCATTTCTCCCATCCCCCTTTTCCCGTTTCCCCGCTGCGAACGCGGACCTGTTTGCCAGGGCACAGGACGAGCACGGGTCGTCCGAGTTTGTCCGTGAACGGCGCGCGGTACACCTTGCCCGTCTCCGACTCTTTCGCCACGTCAGCCTGCGCAAAAGAGGGTACGGTGAGGAGGATACGTTTCAGCGAGCCGAATCCAATGGATTGAACGACGCTATGTCGCAAGTGCGACGGGAGACGACGACGTTCTGCCGTAAGGCATCACAGGCGCTCTGGTCGCCGCGATGTGCGCGCAAGTCTCTGCGCTGCTATGTACGTCCAATGCAAGAATCTCACGAATGCTGCACCAGTAACGCCGTAGATTGAGCAGACGGCGGGTTCGCCTGCCCTCTCGAACCAATTCTACAACAATTCTCAAGAGAGTGAGGCTGGCGAAATCGTCATTTGCAACCGAACGGCCGAACGAAACAGAAAACAGGCAAGCTGTACGTGTTGACACAAAGGCACAAGCAGCGCGAGGAGTGAGGGAAATTGTCGCGCTCACCCAGCGGATCCGCTCGGGTTGGGAGGCGCGGCGCCACGCGATGGTCTCGAGGAGCATCTTCTCCGCCTTCTTCACGTGCCAGCTGCGCGCGCGCAGGTAGCGGCGCAGACACGCGTCCGTGCAGAAGAGCGCGATCGCGCCGTCGACGGGCCCGATGGCCGCGCGGAGCTCTTCCACCTGCGCGGGGAGACAGAGCGCGGGGAGCGGTGGAGGAGAAATGAGGCGAACGGTAATGCGGCGGCTTCGTTGCGCGCGCGATCCGTGATCCGAGTGATTGGCGGATTGTGAACGGGCGGAGAGTGAGGAGGGAAGGAAAAGACGAGGGGGAATGACTGATGAGAGGAGATCGACAGAATTGAACACAACTAGACAAGATAATGCAAGTGTACGGAAGAGGAAGGCGGACAACGAGGCAATGAAGCAGGCTTATCGCACCTTAGCTGCCTCCTCTTCGGGCGTGTTTTGATGGTGGTGAAACGGTAACCGGAGGTGATGGTGGTGATGGTGGTGGTGTTGATTGTTGTCGTGACTATCGTGCTCTTGTTTATGGTGTCCATTTTGCTCCTCCGCGTCGTGAAACTCTTCAGCCTGGCCGTTTTCCCCTTCATGCACGCCGTTCTCTCCTTCATGAGCCTCCTCCGGTCGACACTTTGTTTCATCGCCCGCAGCAGAACTTTGCTGGGAGGAGTCCATGGGGGAATGCGGAACTACGGTGGCGACAACGGACGGACGGACGGACGGACGGACGGGCGACAGGAGAGCCGGACGAGGTGGCGAATGAATTGCTGCGCGGAGAGGCGTGGAGCTGACGATGGGGGAAGATTACGACGAGATCGTCTAAAGCGTTTCACGAAGAGTAACGCAGGAAAGGTTATCAGTCGCGGCAAATCAGCTGACACGAGCTGGTTCCGTCTGCTGCAAGATCAGACAGGGAGGACAAGAGCTTTCGAGTCGAACTCGGAGAAATAGCTTCACGCTACAACTCCTTTGTTGGTTGGAGTTTGGGCTTGGGCCTCTCTACCTTGGCTTGGGTTTGGTTGGCTTGGGTTGGTTTGGTAAGTTGAGGCGGGCAGGAGGAATGCAATGCACAACTTGTTTCGGATTTCGAGTTGTAGATTCAATTGACACTGCTTCGGCTGGATGGCTGAAAGGGAGTGGGACGCACCACACCACGAATTCCGATGCCTGCCTCGGCAGGGCACTTGAGTGGTTGGCAACACATTTGGGTTCCGAAAACGTCCGGCTCGGGGTCGGTTCGGGGTTCCTCCCAGGGCTAGGGAAATGTGTCAAGTACAGCCAGCTAGATGCGCTGGCCCAAGACAATTTCAAAAACAAATTCTGTTCATGAAACAACTCTTGAAAAAATGATTCCACAGCTCCTCAAAAGAGTTTCCTGTTGGACCCCAAAAAGCATACACCAGCTTAGGAACAATTTCAGGGAAGATTGGTTGTTCATAACAATGACGTCATTCGCCATTGTTTGCGGTGCGGTGGTGATGTCCAGCTGTGCACTGGTGTGCTGTGCAGGAAATGGGGCACCAATTTCGTCCACCAGTGCATCTCAGGTTAGCCGGTCAGCGGAGTACCCCTGGTCTCAGGTTAGCCGGTCAGTGTACCCCCCTCAACCCTGGTGCTTGGTCATCCGCTATTGCCGTTGATCACCGTTCAGCCGTCAAATCGCAGCGGGCAGACGAAACCCCTTCCCGACCATCGGATTTGGGCGACTCGACCCGAGGCACATGAGGTTTGTTTGACAGATCCCGAATCGCATGTGAGGAGAGTTTACCATGGAATGCACAGGAGCTTTGAAGAGTCAAAAGATGCTGAATGCACTAGCTGGCACCATGGACTTAGAGCGGGATACTCCCTAAGAAACTGAAGCATCCGTTGCTCATTTCAGGGTTTAGCTCTGGCATCTAGAGCTACAGAATATTTGACCATACGTGAGGCAGGACCTTGGAAAATAAGGTTGGAAGATGCAAGAATGCACATCAATACCAAGCAAAAGACTAATGACCAGACGCAATAAGAGTAATGAATGATTGGTCACGCTAGCAATACAAGAAAAGCAATGCTGGTTGATTACCAGCCAACAGGCATATGAGGGTCATCGGAGCAACACTTCATGACTTCCCAGAGAGTGAAGCTGGCAGTAATGCAGGCGAGGAGACATTTCGAAACGCCCCAACCTCCGTCAGCTCGCCAATCACGGTCCCAGCAACACAACTCGCTGGGGCTGGACGGCCAAAGCTAACCAGAGACCCTGTCGACACACTTCGTTGCATTCCCAGTTGCGACGCCAGGCCTCTTGACGAAGTCGAGTACGACAAAGACGAGTACGACCCAGCAGCAGCTCCTCCACCACTCGCGAAGAGCCTCGTGCCGCTGGACGCACCACCGTAGCCGCCGCCACCAGCGGCAGATGACACCACTCGGACGGTCGCTCCCCGGCCGTTGTTCGCGGTGCTGGGTCGAGGCTCCCCGGCGTCCTGCGCCGACGCGGAGCTTGAGCGGAAAGCCCCTGTTGAGCTGGTTGTTGCCATGTCGGGTCTCGATGAGACTGATGACGAGAGAACAGAGGCTAGGCAGACTGAAGAACGGGGCGGGGATGGTTGGATATTAGCTGGAGTGACTCTCGCTGCGGATTTAGTTGGTGTTTTCATGGGGAATGGCGACTTGCTAGTCACCTCGCCGTCACCATGTCCCTCCTCTCCCGCTGCTGCTGCTGCTGCTGGCGGATCACCAGGTCGATTCGGCTGGCTTTCGCTTAAGCTGCGGTCGAAGAACGCTCCCCGGCCCTCATCGCCCGGGCCACCGCCCCACGAGCGGCGCACAACCTTCGTTCTTCGATTCTTCTTCTTTGAAGCCAACTGCGCTCCGCAGGACTCGCTTTCCAGCGGCGCAATGTTCAGAAACTCCTCCAGAGTCGGTTCCCAAGCCTTAGGCTCCGGAAACTGGTCTCTCACAGGCGTCCTGGCGGGAACCGCTCCGATTGGCTCCGGAGCCGGGACATCGCTGCTGCTGTCGCTGTCTCCGAAGCAGAAACGCATGTCTGGTATGCAGCCGAAGCAGCCGCCGCCGGATCGTGCACTGCCGCCGCAGCTAACGGCTAGCAGTGAGGATGGCGAAGCACTGCCGTGCAGCTGGTGGCGCGTGAGCGTTGCCAGGGTGGCTGGTTGCGCCGCACGGGCTGGGCAGACGGGAAGCTCGCGGAGAATAGAGCAAAGAGGGAATGAGGAAGGTTGGAGAAGTGGTGATGGCTGCTGGAGTTTTGGGAGCAGAGGTGATGCACAAGAGCTGGAGAGAGGGAGTAGCAGTACCACGAGAGGAGAGGGACTGTTCTGATAGGATGCGTGGGTGGATCGTTTGGTTGCGTGGTCGTCGCCACCAAATCCTCGGGGTTCGAAACGCTACTTTTCTCATCTGAAAAATGCTTGGACGAGAGGGTTCTCTTCTGGGTGAGGAAATAGTTTTTCACTGTAGGGCATTCCCAGGTGATGATTTCGATGACAAGAAGACATGAAGAAGACCACCTTGCATTTCTTCGGACGGTGGAGCTTGAGTCCGTGCATATGGGACAACAAATCACCTCCACCAACCACACTGCCTGACGAGTCAGCAGTACCCACACCAAAGCAGCAGCACATCCATCAGTACATCAGCCAATGAAATTCTGGCAGGGTGAATCTTTGACGAGGACAAAGTAAGGACAGAACCCCGCTAAAAGGTTAAGGATATTTTAGGCAAAATACATGCAGTTTCTGATTACCGGATCTGCTCACCATAATCTCCATTCAGATAAACCTTTGAGGGAAAACACGTGAACGGTAACTAATATGGGTCTCAATAACACGTACGGTAACCATTACAGTAATCAATTCCACGCATTTTGTTCACTTAAAACTGGCAACTGATAACGCACACGCATGAACGTACGCATGTACGCACACATGCACGAATGCGTGTACACAAGCACACAGACTTCCCCCCACACACATACACAAACACACACACAGCACACACCCACATTGGTACACGCATATTACATATATGCACTTACACACACGCACACATACACGCATGCGCACACACCGACAAACATACATATAACCTCTTGGACACAGACAACCCATAGATTCGCGCACAAATAATATCACCGGTCCAATTATGAATTTTTGGATCCAGCAGCAATGGAAAACCTAGGAAAACCTATGGTTGGACAACACTGCATTTTCAACAAGGCACTTGTGTCTGGTGATCATCAGCGTTTCTGTATTGCTCTATGCCTAGTTCTAAAAAACGGAGTGCAACGGAATGTCTGAATTAGGGTTGGGAAGGATACAAATAGGAAACCTACCAAAGTTGTACTCACTAGAGAGTACCTCACTGCAGTCTATCACAAGATTAACATTTGACACACCCCCATACGCTAACTGAGGGACATCAGAGCAAGCAAGGTGAACAAACGGTCACAAGACCAGTTCAAGCAAGAAACAAAGCAAGCTCAGGGTGGATCTCAAGGACACCACACAAATTCCGAGCGCAGGCAAGGGGCCACAAGGCCAGTTCATGAGTTCACTAGGATATATATAGGAAAGTACAACAAGCAGAGCAAGCAACAAGACTACAGCAACCGAGGGCCTACCTCAACAAGCCCCAACTGCACACAGAACCTGTGGTGGTCACCAAGCGCCAAGGCCTTGGTGAAGACGTCTGCAGTGTTGGCCTCTGAGGCCACAAAGTGCAGGCGTGCCTGGCCGCGTCGCTGCAACTCTCGCAGGAGGAAGTACCTCACGTCAATATGCTTCACTCTGCTCTCCAGTCGAGGCTCTCGACAGAGGAGGATCATGGCCTTGTTGTCAGCGTACAAGGTCGGTGCAGAGCGAGGCCGCTCACCAAGGTCGGCGAGCAAGAAGGTCAAACAGCGAAGCTCCTGTGCCGCCATGGCACCAGCGTAGATCTCTGCCTCTGCACTGGAAGTAGTCACAGACGACGACCGTGTAGACCTCCACGACACAGCACCAGCTCCCAGACTGAAGCAGTAACCCTGAGTCGAGCGTTTAGTCTCCACGTCGTCAGCGTAGGAAGAGTCGCAGTGACCAGTCAATGCCACTGGCTGAGTCCCTCCAAGCACAAGCCCCATGCTTGATGTAGTCGCCAGGTACTTCGCCACCCTCACAGCAGCTGTCCAGTGGACAGGACGGTGTCTCCCAGTCACAACAAAGCGAGAAAGTATGCAGAGGGGAAAGGCGAGGTCCGGCCGAGTACAAGTCATCAGGTACATGAGGCAGCCCACCAGCTCTGCGTAGGGACCACTGGACTCAAAGGGCTCGTCCGGAAAGGGGCCAGTGAGTCTGTGGTCAACAGCAAGAGGTGTGGGCTGTGTGGTGGAGAACTGGAAGTCGAACCGCCGAAGGACCTGCTGCACCATGTGTGACTGAGTCAGTGTGATGGTGCGAGCGGCTCTGTCCCTGGTGATCTGCAGGCCAAGGTAGCGATGTAGTTCACCTAGGTCAGTGCACTTGTGTCTCTTCTGCAGTTCGGACTTCACCTGAGCCAGAGCTGCCCTGTCTGCTGTGGCAAAGACCAAGTCGTCGGCGTACACTAGTATAAAGAAAGGAGTGGAACCAGTGCGAACAAACAGCGACAGGTCGGCAGAGGAAGGACGAAACCCAAGGTCACGAAGCGTGGAG